CAAGGGCTATCAGATATCAAACGCGGAGTCACTGAGTAGGAGCTCCGAGGGGTTGCTAGGGATGTTCTAAGGCTGCAGCAGTCTCTTCTCGAGTAAAAGGGACTCAAAAACAGCCATGGAGCAATAAAGAAGATGTTGATAGGAAATGAGGTCGTTCCGTCGGAGTCTGAGGCAGGAGTGGCGCCCAGAGGGCAGGACCCGGCTGAACCTTGCAACCCATTCAACCACTACATGTGGAAGAAGGAGGAGGTAGGGTTTGATTAAATGATTTTTTGCAGTGTGCTTTTGAAAAGACAACCTTCTTAACCATACTTTCGGTCAAAGAGAGACCTCTAGAAACATGAACAATCGATATAACTTCAGGACTCTTCGATATAACTTCAGGACTCTTCGATATAACTTCAGAATTCTTAGTAAATCCGCCTTCTCCAGCAGAACAACCACTCGAGGTAGCTCTTTTTGGCTGGAAAAAATTAGTAACCCTACGCCGTGGAAAAAGCTGCGGTTTTTTCAACAGCGGAAGATAAGGTAGTTTGAGAAGAAAGCGTAATTCTGCTAAACAGCCCTTCTTATTCCTGAAAAGCCCGTGCTATCAACACTTTTTTCACTCTGAGAAGCACTTAGACGAAAGCTTTTCTCTGAACATCTGATCTCCTTGATTAGGGCATGTATGGCGAAGATGAGGCTGCCATACAAACATCCCATGTTCTGATGAAAAAAGTTTCGGTAATGCAAGTACTAGCTTCGAGCTCGCTCATCTCGTTGATGACGTTCATCTCGTTGATGAACCATACCAGTGAGTGGTATCAAAGCCAAGCAATAGTGGTAGCACATGCTGGCACAGAGCGACCTCTGGATGAATGTGAAAAGAACAGANATGAGGCTGCCATACAAACATCCCATGTTCTGATGAAAAAAGTTTCGGTAATGCAAGTACTAGCTTCGAGCTCGCTCATCTCGTTGATGAACCATACCAGTGAGTGGTACCAAAGCCAAGCAATAGTGGTAGCACATGCTGGCACAGAGCGACCTCTGGATGAATGTGAAAAGAACAGATTCGAAAGTTCAAAAAATTCCAAAGAATTTCCAGATCTCCTGATGGACGTACTAGTTGTTGAAATTAGGAACGACTGGACAGAAATTGTACAAACCCATTCGGAACCGATGGAATGGGTATCGATTTCTTATCAGTCACGAATACTGGCATTACGGTCCGAGTTGTATTATTACTACTATTCTCTGAATGTGTCTCTTTCTGGGTTCGGATCTGACGTTTCTTTGGTCTTCTCCAGTAAGTCAAACATTCATCTGAAGGCAAGGGTTCATGAGAAGGGTAGTGGGTTGAGGGGAAGAGGGGGGAACGGTCACGAAGACGAGTTACAGGGACGTTACTCACCTCACCTTTGAGCTGTAGAGTCCTTAGTAGGGCCGAAACGGTATCTCACCAATGTTACAACTAATACTGAGAATCCACCCAGAAGCATGGACATTGAAGTACAATATAAACGGCTGAGTTCAAAAATATCAATTCATTAATATTGTTGAAACTTGACGAATGTGCCAATTGTCCATGCAACTGAAAACTAAAGGAAAGCTGGCTCAATAGAAGAACTGAGAAGTTAGCAACGGCTGCTTCAGTCCTCGTTCCAAGTTTACTTCGAGTTACACTCTCAGGGATCAGGGAACCCTGAAAAGACGTTTCTTCACTCACCATGGAATCTTGCATAACTCACTTGGATCCATCGAATCATATGATCAGGGGTGAAAAAAAAGCATGAAAAAAGAAGTAACAGTCGAAACATCTGCGAGGGGGGGAGGAGGAGTGGTCTCAGATGGGACATTATGCTTTCTGTGCTGATGAGGATGTTTCCGTTTTTTTGCATATTTTTCTACTAATTATCGCAGGAACCTTCTCATTTATTAGTGGTCATCATCTAAAATATGGGCTCAACTTGTAAGCAATACAAAGGCATAATTAACCAGCCATTTTATTAGAATAAAACTCAACTACTTGAGAATAGGTGTACCCACCTCAGAAAAGGAGCAGCTGAGCGAGCAACGTGTCCGATCCGTTAATGGGCGATTTGCCAGATTTTGAGAAGTATATGGGAGAGGTAGTGACAACAGCGTCGGCCCCAGCCTGTGAAAAAATCCCATAAGAAACTTGATAAAGATAGCTAGTAAGTCAAAATCAGGAACAAGGGAATTACTCAACGACCATCAGAGGAGCTACCATCACAATCTTCTAGTGGCCCTTCTGAGTTAAGTGGCCCCTCGAACAAAAAAGAAAAGATGGTAAATGTTGAAGGAGATTTGCTTTCAACACTTTGTATTTGTTGTCCGAAGGTTTAGAAAAGGTTGGAGTTAAAATTGAAGAGAATTGGTCAAAGAAACATGAAAAAAAAA